GTCACCCAAACATTGTAATAAACAAGTGACCACAACAGTTACTTTCATAATACGTATATCTGTAATACAATTAACTAACTAATTAATTAATTACACTTAAACAACATTAAGGAAAACAAATAAATAAGTATGACTAAATATATCACTTAGAACACACATTCAATTTCAAGTCAAATAAATAATAAAATAAATACACAATTAGACAATATTAATTTAAACACACAATTAATCAATCAATTAATTTAAACAAATACAATGAACACAATTAGTCAAATAAGCACATAAGTCACTTAGTTAAATAAAAATGCAATAAAAATCAAAATTAAATTCCCATTTTATCCTTTTGAAAAGTAGGGGTATTACAAGCTGACTCTCTCTCTCACAGGGAGCCGTGGTCAAAAAAACTTAGGGAATCAGCTCCATTCCCTTGGGAGCCGGCTTTATCCCTGCTTCATGTCATCGTCTTCGCCTCTGATGATGTTAAATAACCCTCTATAATGTTTTGTTTAAGTTCCTAGAGCTCCAACAATGTCCCGTATCCTCCAGAATAACACATAAATTCAGTATGCATCAATACAAGATGTAAAACAGAATATGAAACAATTTGATCAACAATTAAATTTCAATTAATCAACACATAGAATACAGTTTAAAACCCGAATTAACATGCATACTTAATCATTATTAATATCCATTTAGTTCTTGGAATCTACCTAGGCATGCACAGAATACAGGCCAAAGGAAAAGAGCAAGAAATAGAACTTGCCTCTAGGTTTTGAATTAAAACCTTTAACCGTCCTCTGTCTAGACTTTCCGGCGACCTCTAATTATCGTCAACTCCTTTGTTACCCTAGGTTCAACCCACGAACAAGCCCCAATAGCCTCTCCTTAGTTCAGCCCCTTGTTCCCAGCCAAATCCTAATTCTTCCTCTCAGTTTTCTCTCAAACCTCTCTGTAATTCTCTCTGCCTCCACTGCTCCGTGAATAGGGTTCTAAACCCTTGGCAGATACATAAGGTTATATTTATATAGGCTTAACAAAACCCTAATCCTATTCATAACCTACGACTAATAAGTCGGCTAATCATAAAATAAAATAAAATAACATAGAAATATAATGACATATACAGCCCTATACGTGCTAATCTAATATATACATATAATTTATATATATATATATATATATATATATATATATAACCTATTAACATAATAATACTATTATTATCATACAAATAAATAATTAATAATAATAATATTTTATCCTCCTAAACATATATACTCAAGTATATATACAACCAACACTGTATGGGTAATTATTTGTACCTATAAACAACTTCTATTTCAATAGTCCATGAGACCTAACTGTTGATCCATTACTACAATCCAAATCCCTCATTTTTAAATTAAAAATAAAATAAAACACATATTTAAATAATCAACTAAAAATTACATTTAAATCAACACAACAACAATTAACAAATAAACTCATACAACAATTAATTTAAAACTTAAGCACACACTTATAATTAAACAAGTAATTCATTTAAACATATAACATAAAGCCACATAAACACATAGCCACGTAAACAACTAAAATACACAAGAAATAAAAATTTAAATTCCGATTATATCTTTTTGAAAGTTAGGGGTATTACATGCCGCCATGGGGTCACCATGGGACGGGTTTCGCTAACAGTTTGGAAATGATGACGGAAATGGTTTTGAAAATAGGGAGTGACATTGCATGGCATTACATGCCATTGTATGGCATATCCCTTTATAACTTTGCTTATTGATGTGGTATTATGGTTATTTTTCCCCCGACGTAGCATGAGCCCGTCCTCTATATTTCCCATTCATCATGTGGATTGACGGGATCTCAAGAGGTGTGCCTTATGCACCTACTACTGAGCTTATGCTCACTCCTTTCATATTAACATTTTTCAGGTCACGGAAAGGAGGTGGCGGATGATAATCCACCACAAGTGTGAAGAGAATAGAAAGTGTATGTTTTGCAACCATTTTGTGGACTTAATTCCATTTTGTAAAGTGTCATTTTGAACATGTACTAAGTTATGTAGCATGGCCTTGTAATATATAATTTTGAGCCTTGACTCCATTTTGATGTAAATTGGACAAATTGTAAAGATCATGTATATTTCTGTTATGAATACGGTTAATGAAGTTGTAATTGTAAAGAATTAGTGATGTTTTCATCCATGAAAGTAGTATGATGCATTTCAAAGTGTTTTGGGACAGGTTGAGATCAATTTCAAAGTCCCTACCTAAGGCTTCCCTTCATTTTCACAACTCAGCAATCCATTTTGGCAGACCGAAGCTCCATTTCGGTCGACCGAAATGGTACTGCTTTGTGTTCTTTTCTTCCTTCCTTGGTTTAAGTATCCCTGAGTCTTGGAATGTTGTTTAAAACATTTTATAAGTATAAATAGGGCACAAGGATGATGTGTTGACCCTAGACATGATGGAGTTTGACTTAAGTGACCTCGGGTTCGGGTAAGGACCCGGATAACGACTCTGACCCATGGATTCGGGTTGTTACAATGGGCATTTCCCGTTGTAGAAATCATCCAGAAAAGACTACGGGCGAAAACCGTGGTATGAAGCTTTTTCGCCCGTAGTAAAAAGGCCATTTTTCTTGTAGACTATAAGTAAGAGAATAAAATATGAAAGTTAAGGGACAAAAATGTATAACATTTAGTGCCTAACAATAATTAATATGTTGAATTCAAATACATTTATGTGACATTAGTTATACGGCATGATGTGAATACTTTCTTTCAAGGGTGAAGCAACCAAATGAGTAAATAATAATTAATACTAAAATTTTCATTATTTTGGTAAACATCAAGTATTTTGTTTGTTGTCTAAGTTACCCCAAATTACTTTTAATTGAACATCTAATAGTGTTATTTTTTTCTTTTTTGGATACAATTTCACTTCAAATAACATCATAATTAATATGTTAAATTCATATACATTTATATGTGACATTAGGTATACGGCACAATGTGAATACCTTCTTTTGAGGATGAATGTATTGAGTGAGTAAATGATAATTAATATCAATTTTTTCATTATTTTGGTAAACATCAAGTATTTTGTTTGTTGTAAGTTACCCCAAATTACTTTAACTTAAGATGTGACAGTAGTTTTTTTTTTCCTTTATTTTTTTTTTTATTTATAAAATTTCTTCAAATAACAACATAATTAATATATTGAATTCATATTCATTTATATGTGACATTAGGTATATGACACCATGTGAATACCTTCTTTTTAGGGTGAAGGTTTTGAGTGAGCAAATGACAATTAATACCAAATTCTTAATTATTTTGATAAATATCAAATATTTTGTTTGTCTAAAGTTACCCTAACTTACTTTAACTTAACATGTGATAGTGGTTTTTTTCTTTTTTTTCTCCTTTTTTTATGGACAAAATTTCACTTCAAATAACAACATAATAAATATGTTGAATTTACATACATTTATATTTGACATTAATTATACAACATGATGTGAATACTTTTGTTGAGAGTAAAAATATTGAGTGAGTAAATGATAATTAATTCCAAACTCTGCCAGTTTTTTTTTTTTTTGGATAACATAATGGTACAAAAGTATTAGGAATTCTGTCAAAGAACACAATGTTTCATTTTTAGAGAATAACTAAATATATAATTTCTTAATAATTAGAAGGAAAAAAAAAAAGCCATATACATATATTTTTTGGGATAATCTCTTTTTGTGTGTGTGTTAAAAAATCACTCAAATAACAAACATAATTAAATCCATATATATTTATATGTGAGATTACTAAGGTACTTCTTATTCCTAAATTATTTGAATAATCAAATGTGCACTATACCAAAACTCAAGCTTGTATTTTTGTGACATTGTTTGACTGTTGGTTTTTTACTATAACTGACCAAGCAACTTGTGGTCCAATGGTATCTCAATCATTTGATGAGGATGTGGACGTTCACACGTTGAAGGCTGAAATATGGTAAGATTATTTTGTAGATCAAGAGGATAATCTTTTTGAAAAATCAACTCTTTCAGGAAGGAAAGTCTTGTCCATTCCTTTTAAAAGAAATATAAGATATTTCAATTTGGTAAAAAGTATTGTTAACTCAATCTAATGACCATCATATTTTGATTCAATAAGGAATTGATAAGTAAAAATGAAAGTATATTTGGTATGAAACAAAACAGCAAAGAAAAGAGAAATTACAGAAAAAGTAATTGGTAGCAATACAGACCAAAGATAACTTATCTGAGTTTTGATTCAAAAAAGGAAATTAGAAAAAGCAAAAAAAATAAGTTTTTTCATGGAAAGAAAAGGGAAGGAGGGAAGAATTAGGGTTTTAATTCAAAAAAAGGAAAAAAAAAATAAAAATAGAAGTATGATTTTGATGGAACCAGAAGAGACGGAGAGAAGAATTAGGATTTTGATTCGAGGAATTAAAAAAGGAAAAATGAAAGAAAACAAAAAGGAAGGAGAGATTTGCCAAAAAAAAAAAAAAAACAAAGAGAGAGAGAGAGAGGGAGAAGGCGCCAATTTGCGAAGCCCACTTTGGAGCTTTTGATTTTTGATATTTTATTAGTATTTTTTAAGTCGGTAACACAAGTCAACGTTACGTCTAGGCTATGTTTGGTACAGTGACAAAAAAAGAAAACATAAAAGATAATTTTATTCCTTAATTGTATTTGATTGATTTAAAAATATATATATATATATATATATATATATATATATATATATATAATTTTAACCTTATTGATTGATTAATGAAGAAAAAAAATTAGAAAGAATAATTTTAACCATTTGTCGTATTTGTTAATTAATAAAAAAAAATAAAAAGAATAAATAATGATCATGTTTGAAAAAAAAAAAAAAAAAATATTTTAATAAATTTACTATTATATCTTTTTATATTTTAAAAAATAAATTTATATAAGTCTCAAAATTTACAGGCCCATGGATGATGAGCCACTTAGGGCAAATAATTTCAGCCTCCCCAATAGCCTCCATCTCTATTTCGTTCTCAACTCTGAACTTCCTCTCTCTCTCTCTCTGCAATTGCAAACTACAAAATCTACAAGAATCACAAGTTCAAAACCCATATATCTTAGTTTATCTATCTATCTGTCTGCAAGAATCAAAAGTTGAAAACCTATTTCCTATATCAAAACCCATATCGGCATATCATTTCAGATTGTTCCAAAAATCAAAACCCATATCATTCAGTTTCCATCGCCCGCTGTTCCATTTCGGGTTCGTCGTTCGCAAGCTTCAGCGCTGTCTCTCAACTCTCAAGCTTCTATCTCTGCAACTGCTAACTTGTATGTATGGGTTTTGTTTTAAATTTTTTTCTAAATCAACTAATCAAGCTCTGTAAGAAGTATTTTTCAGCAAATAAAAAACCCAGTATTACTGCTCCGGGATTAAACCACGGGAAGTGGTGCGCGCGCAAGGTTAACAATGTCGGTGGAGACCGAGGTTATTACTGCTCCGGGATTGGCCCTCGCCGATACCGACATCAACTGGGACAGGTCTCTCTCTCCACACACATATATTTATATATTTTTGTATGTATACATATTTTGTCTTGAACATATTGTGTTTGATTATTAGGTTATAACTGCTTAATCTAATTTTGACTATGTCGTACATAGAGTTGAAAATTTAGTGAAAAAAAAATAATAATAAAAAAAAAAAATAAAAAAAATCCTACTTAATTATGGAGAGAGAAACCAATTCAAATCTAAACGTACAATTCCTGACTCAACCCTGCCACTAGAACTGACTGATGGCAATGGGATCTGGCTCGCCATGATTGTAATTTATAATTGATATTCATCTCAACCATGAACTTAAACTTGAATTTTGCATGTTAAATTACCTTTTGATGTTGTAAAATATTTGTTACATAGATGGTTTAAAGGAAAAGAAATATAATATTTACATAGATGGTTTACTTCGAGGGAAACCAACCTCCTTTGCTGGAAAACTCCTATTTATAATACTTTATACAATAATAAAACTACCCACATCTCCTACAAAATACACATTCATGTATTCTTTCTATTCAGTGATTTCATAGTGGTGGATTAAATTTGAGTTTTGAATTTAATTATACACACTGCATTCATGATATATGTAAGTGCTAAGAAGTCGTCTTGTGCTTGAAACTAGAGCTGGAGCTGACTCCTTTTTTTTTGGTTAACAAATTGGGCCTCAAATTTTAGGTTGGATAAGACAAGATTTCATATTATTGGAGCTATACTCTTCACTGCTCAGTCGGCTTTACTACATCCAACAGCTGTTGTAAAGACTAGAATGCAAGTAGCTGGTTCTGGACTCTCTCATATGCGTGGAATACATGTATTCAGAGATATACTGAAAAATGATGGTGTCCCTGGAATTTTTAGAGGCTTTGGTACGTCCGCTGTTGGATCATTGCCAGGCAGGGTATTGGCTTTAACTTCACTTGAAGTATCGAAAGACATGATGCTGAAATACACTGAAGGTCTTAATATGCCTGAAGCAACACGGATTGGCATTGCAAATGGAGCGGCAGGCATGTTGTCAAATTTAATATCCTGTGCATACTTTGTGCCTCTGGATGTGGTAGGTAAATTATTCTTTTCCATCTTCTTTGGGTGTCCGCTTAATAAAATTGCCCCATTCTCTTTTATACGGTTTTTATCCTAGTTCTCTTTTATATGGTTTCATGTAGATGCAAGTCTATCTTCTCCAATTATACCATTATGGAAAATGAAGCCATCATAAACAATGGTAGCAAAAAAATTGAAATAGTTTGCGTTTCATGGCATACTGTAACTGTCTGCATACCATCAGCCATTTTGCTGGATACTATTTTTCGGTGGCCCCATTTTAGATGTTTAAATTTTAACTTCTAATGCTATGCGAGTCAATAAATCAATTCAACTTATTGGGGAAAAAAATTAATGTAATCTGCATCTGATGTACAGACACGACCTCATACATTTTTCTTTCTTCTTGTTATTTAACTGCAAGTCATTTTATACTGTTTCCAGTAACACAGAAATTTTGGGCAAATAAGAATTCTTGCGTTAATCAGTATTTGTCGGGGTGTTTTGTTACCAGAAAGCATCCTGGAGACATTTTTAGAAAACACCTTCATTCATGTCCTGAAAAGAAGAAGAAAAAGAAAAAAAAAAAAAGACTTTTAATTCTTATTTGTGGAAATCATTTTTCAAAAAATATAGTAAGAAATTATTGGTCTATAATCTGTGGCATAGCAGTTAAATTATCTTTACAATTATTGTGGTCCTCATCCAACAACATTTTTATGGTTTTGGCTTTTACGGGTGCTGCTCAATCTCCCCTTTGCCAAGATCAAGCTCAATAGGTTATTCTGTACAACACTGCCACAGCTAACCCTTCTTGATATAGGATCACTTCTCACTCTGTTTTCTAGTTGTTTTAGTCCCTCAATGGCTACAGATGAAAAAAGTAAAAGGGGGAAAAAAAAATTCTCCATTAACAAGAGACAGAGTCTCCCATTTGTCAGCAGTTAACTCTTCATTAAAAATCTCTCATTTGCTTAGATCAAGCTCAATAGGTGACTCTGTAGAAAACACGATGTCTAATCCCATCCAGATATAGATTACTTCTTAATTTTGTTTTCTGGTTGTTTTCATCACCTGATGTCTATAGATAAAAAGAAATAAAAAGTCCATTAACAAGAGATAGTGCCTCCCATTTGTTATCATCAGGGTACTCCATCATTGGAATCATATTTGATTCAACATGCAGTTCTACTTGCAATCATTCCCAGAAACATACATTCCTGTTAATCTAATTCCATCTTTTAATTACAACCAGAGCAGTCTTGTCTTTGAATAATATGTGTAGGTATGTACCTTTCATGATGTCCGCAAAATTCTGGTGTATTCTCAGATTTGCCAGAGGCTAATGGTGCAAGGGCTTCCAGGCACTACATTTTGCAATGGCCCACTTGATGTTGTACGCAAAGTGATAAAGGCTGAAGGATTTCGTGGCTTGTATAGAGGCTTTGGATTAACAGCTGTGACCCAATCCCCAGCATCTGCACTTTGGTGGGGTGCCTATGGTGCTGCCCAACACATCATTTGGAGGTATATCTAATTGTTTTGGCATTCTAATATGTACTTCTTCTGTTGATAACTTTCAAACATGTTTTTACATTTTCTTTCTTTTTTACTTTTCACTTTAGGAGCTTGGGTTATAGAGATGATTTAGAAAAGAAACCATCTCATATAAAAATGGTGGGAGTTCAGGCTACAGCAGGAATGATAGCTGGTGCTTGTTCCTCAGTTATTACTACTCCCATAGACACTGTAAAGACACGACTTCAGGTAACATAATATGGTTTTATTTTTTTTCCTCTCTATTTGTGCATCATTGCAGCCATAAGGAAAATGAACCTTTTCATTTTAGAATGCTATTTGTTCTGGTGATTTGTTGAATATGTCAATTATGGAATAACTCTAATATATATTGTTTAATTTTATGTTTCTTTTTGGTATGTTGCTCCACTTAAATTGAAGGTTATGGATGATTATGGCGTTGGAAGACCTTCAGTAATCAAGACTACAAAGGCACTCCTTAAAGAAGATGGATGGAGGGGCTTCTATAGAGGGTTTGGGCCCCGTTTTTTGAATATGTCATTGTATGGAACTACAATGATTGTTACTTATGAACTGATAAGTATGTAGGAATCCCAATTATTCCCCTTTGAAGATGGGCCAATCTAGAGTCTGACAGTAGTCAGATGAAACAATCACTTTTGGTCAGTCAGGACATTTGTGCACATGCTTAGTTTTGCAACCTGCCATTCAGTTTGGTTCATGATTTTTGAACTTGTTTGGCAAAAAAAAAAAAAAAATTATTGGAGTTTGATATTTTTATTTCACTTACTGATTTTCTTGGCATTTCAAAGTTTTAGCAACATTCCAAATTCTCAGGAACATTTCAAAATTTCAGGAACATTTGAACTTGTTTTTCTATTGCCTTCCTTAATTTGTCTAGTTAAAAGTCAATCGTACCAACAGGAATAAATGATTGCAACTTCGTTCTCCTCAAGAACCAAGAACATCCAATAGTCCTGTATGTGTGCCAACTGTCCTGGTATATCGCTTACAGAATTTCTATTGGTATTTGCTGCTTCGGCTCTAGATTGGCCCTTTAAACAAGTTGACACTTCATCAAATTGCTACCTAATCATGTTTCTTAATTCTTCTACTACCCTTGTTATCAGAGAGATTGTCTATAAAGCAAGCGCCAGAGCCTGAAGAGGAGGGGGTTCAAAGGTAGCTAAGATTCTGTGCCTATATTCCATCCGAGGTAACAGATGGCGGTGGATCTCTATAATTTGGTGGCGAAACTAGAGGGCCCTTCTGGTGTCACATGGAGGCAGCATTTTGTGGTAAGTAACATGCCTATAATTAGTCTGGAAAGGTGTTTATTTTTTATATTTTCCCTGCAAATAACATACATGCACGTTTTTCTCTTACAGGGACTTGTACCCTTTTACTTTTTTTTTTTCACTTTGGAAACTCTTTTTAACTTTGGAAATTTGAGGATATACCACTGGATTATGATCCTTGGTTGCAAAGGTGTCATTGCAATTTGATGTTATTAAGGAGATGACGATTTTTGTTTTAGTAAGGATAGTTTTTGTACCTTATGAGAACAAGTAGAGACTATTGAACCTGTCACATATATTTTAATCTGTGATGTCCATATAGAAGAAGTTGTATATGTTGGCCATCAATCAGTGTGTTTCTAGTTAAAGAAGGATGCTGAGAGGGTACATTCAAACTTGAGTGCTTGTTCACAGGCTGTTCTCAGTGTTGCTGTATATGTCGTAGATGGAATTTTCTTTTTGATTGGAGGATCATGCATTGCAAGCTATTTTGTTTCCCAACTCTTGAGGGGGAGAATGTGAAGTTAGTAGTGTTCTCTTTGAGTGAGCACTTGGTGTGATTGAGCTCCCTCGTGGCGGGATACTACTAGCAATCCTTTTGTGCTTCCATTGAATTAAATGTATGTGATGGTGGTGCACGTGTGCGTAATCGTGGCTGTTCTTCTTGTACAACACACTTGCTGTAAGAACAGAGGATTAAGCTCATTGTGAGGATGCTTTTATGTAATTAAATGTGTCGGTTTTATTCCGTTTTTTAATTACATAACATCATCTAATTGAACGGAATCACATGGATTTATCGATGCTTTATATTTTTCCACACCCCTTGTTCCAGCGGTGTACCAGCCTATTCCGGAATGGTCCGACCAATATGGGCCACAAGCTGGATGATTTTTTAACAATCACATTTACTAGTTTAAGAAAATGTATAGTTTTCATTGGAACGCTCAGGGTAATGGACTTGTCTGAACAAGCTTCATAGAATCATAGGCAACGCTGGGTGTTTGAAAAGAAAATAAATAAAATGTTTGTTTTATTTGTAGGAATTAAGAGAAAATATACTTGTTTTTAAAAACACATGCCTTTCATCTTCTTTCTTTTTTCTTCCAATTATTGAATCCAACTGAAAATTTTCAAACTATTTTCAAATTTGGTCAAATATTTTCAAACCTAGTCAAACCTTCTTAAATTCCCTACTTTCAGCAACTGTAGCCAAAGAACCCTCCCCAATTCAGCAACTCCGCTTCTCAAAATTCCTCAGTTTCAGCCATTAGACACAGATTTCAGCAAAACTCAAACAGGGTCACATGTCAGAGAGCTTTAATTCTCGTCAATTCTTCATGGGACAAAAATTGTCTCCATTGCCCCTCTCACTCGAAACTGTCCAGCAAGGGGTAGCAAGGGGTAACTGGAAATTGTCCAGTGAGGGGTAAATTGCTGAGTTGGCAAATGGGTTAAATATATATTTACTTCACTTTGTCTCGTACATGTAATTCCCCTCGCCCCTCAAAAGGAAAGTTGACATTCCTCCCAAAACTCTACAATATATACTGAATCGGAAAAATCAAATAGGAAATCCCTCTCTGAAATTTGAAATATCAAAACACAACATCATCCAAGATCATTAGTAACAATCCAGACAAGGCAACCAAGAGAGTTTTGTTACACATAAACATAAAGATTTTCAAGAAGCAGAGCAAGTCATATTATCCGGTGAAGAAACAGAGCAAGTTAGATTATTCGGCGAAGAAGCTGAATTGAGGACGTACAAATAAGCAAAAGGATCTCTCTATTCAAAGAAAGCCTATTATGAAACAAACAAAATAAGATCTAGTCGGAAAAATCACCATATATTCTAGCGAGAAGCTAAAATTTCCGAGGAGAGATTCCCCCTAAAAAATTCCGATAGTCCATGAGAAGCTGAAGCTTCGATCATTATAAACATTAGGTTGTTATTTTGAATTTCTTGTAACTTTATTCATAATGATATATCAAATTTATCTTATATGACGGCAATCTAGTGGTGATTATTGGTAATCAAAAAATTTGAAAGTTGGATTCATCACATACATTTTCTAACAGCATACAGATCAATTTATTATGTTCACAAATTATTTAAACATGTATTATGTATGACTTGCATATTGCATCAACATATTTTCCTAACACGTTAAAAAAAATTAACTTCCACAATTCAATTTCACAATTTCTAAATTAATAATAAGAATCACAAATACTTTCAATATATATGTAGGAAGATTTGCATATTCCATGACCTACTTTTTGTAACAACATACAATATAAAAGTTGAAGAGATCAAATTATCATTATTACAACTTTCTTTTAACATATATCATGTATGAATTGCATATAACATCAACATATTTTCCTAACACGTTAAAAAAAATTAACTTCTACATCAAATTATTGTTATTACAACTTTTTTAAACATGTGTCATGTATGAATTGCATATAACATCAACATATTTTCCTAACACAATTAAAAAAATTAGCTTCCACAACTCAATTTCACAATTCTTAGATTAATAGTAAGAATCACAAATATTTTCAACATATATGTAGGAAGATTTGCATATTTCATCACCTACTTTTTGTAACAACATATAATACAAAAGTTGGAGAGATCAGATTATTATTATTATAACTTTTTAAAACATCTATCATATATGAATTGCATATAGCATCAACATATTTTTCTAACACGTTAAAAAAATTAACTTCCACAACTCTAAAATCTGTATAATTAGTCAATTATTTCAAAACACTAAAACCTAAAATTAATTTATATTTGGATACTGAACTGTACCGATACATAATCAATGTTTAAGATTTGTAATTTTAATGAAAATGAATTAAATAAAATATTTTTGTATATAATATATTGTTATACGTATATTTGAGTACTGAATAACACCAATATAAAATTTGTATATATATATTTTAATATATATAATGTGATTTATATAAAAGTTGTGATTCATGTTAGAAATGTGTTCCTACATTATATAAAATTTAGTTATGATGTTAGTTATGAAATTGTTATGATGTTAGTAATGATATAAGGTTGGTTTTCCTTTGACTTTGGTTAAATTTACAAATCTAAGTTACATTGAATGAAATAAGTTATGATATTTATTACAAATGTGTTCCTACACTATATAAAATTTAGTTATGATGTTAGTTATAAATTATTTTTCTAAAATGGTATAAGAATATTATAAATGGCTTGGTAATTCGCTAAAAAAATTTAACGAATTAACAAAATTTATGTCAAATTCTTTAACATCGAAAAGAGAGTAGTATCTTATCTCCAATCCAACCTTACAAAGAAATCTCATTTATAAGATTGTATAAATCAAATAGTTATGTATGATCTGTTACGGAGTTCATTGCCATATGGAACTGTTTGCTTTTCACGTTTCTAGTTGCAGACCAACTTTTTTCTCATTTTTGCTGATTTGGGGTTTGTCTATTCTTCATTAATGTCTGAAAATGTAACGATCCGGTCATTTGTCTTCCTTTCTTTTTTCCTGAAATTTTACGGATAAATTTTTTCCGTTTAATTTTCTTTTTTGAGCTCTGTTTCTTGTCACATAGTGTCTTCTCGAGAGCTCGAAAATGGTTTTTGAGACTCTTTCGTGTGGATTGACAACTTCCTTTGAGGACCAAGTCATTTTCGCATTTTCACTTTTCGGACACTATGCACCATTTCGTCTTTTTCCCTATTCTGTCTTATCTCCGTTTACCAGTTTTTGGCACAATCTCACTTTTCGTGCTCGGAGTTAGCTTTTGACTTCACGTGTCTTCATCTTCAGTGGTTTTCTCGAAATACGTATCTTTACTTTTGTAAGAAGGTACTCTGGTTGCTCCCGCTGTCCATAGGGGTATGGATGCACAATTCTTTAGAATCTTTTTCATTTCTTGGGGTGTTTTTCATAAATATCTTTTGAAGATATTTTATTTCAGTGGTATCTAAGAAAATATCTTTTGGAAGATATTTTCATTCTAGGGCAGTTTCGCAGTTAACCCTTTTTGTAAGGGCCATTGTGCAATTAACGAAAGTTATTGCAAAATACCTCGTCTGGAGCCTGGATCCTCGTACGGGATTCATTTTCACTTTTTGTTGACTCGTAAATTCATAAAATTTCCTTCTGGTCGTTTTTTTTCCAGTTTCAGAGCTTCTGGACCCGGTTGCCGCCGAACTTCTTTGGGGCATAACTTTATACTAGGGACTCAGTTTTTGACGCTGTTTCTTTCGTTGTTCATATTTTCTCATTTTGAATCTTTTTTGTTCATGGAGTTTTGCCGTTTGAGTGCGTTTTCTCAAAATCCACTTTTTCGGACCCGGCGGGGCTCGTTCGGGACACTTTTTGAGATTTCTATAAAAAGGGGATGAGATATTTCATTTTTCATCTTCCCCACTCCCCTTGCACGACCTTAAGCAGCATGGATGCCCATGGAGCTGCCACCTTCTCTCTCCTCCTTTGATTTACTTTTCCTAAGTGAAAAGTTTTCGGCTTTCACGTTTTTTTGTTTCCCTCGACGTGTTCTACCATCCCCCCTTATTAGAATTCATTTTTGACCATTTTTTGAGTTTGGGTTTGAAGTCAAGTTGTGATTTTCATGGGGCTACCTTTGGATTCATGTAGATCGTGTTGTCCCCAACAAAACTCTTCGGTTTCGGCGGATTCGGAACACTTTTTTTTTCAGTGGGCCTTTGAGGTTTTCATCTCAAATTGAGGTAGGGAGTGTTATAATTTACTTTCTTGCTCTATTACATGCTTTTGATGCTTATTCAACTCAATTGCATGCTTGGATATTAAATCTAGAATTTTTGATTATTTATTTTCTAGTATGAAATTTAATTTTTCCGGTGAGTTATAGCATGTTTTAAACTTGTGGCTTAACATTATATTACACCTTGATATGTTGATTAACATATATTAAAATTGGAGAATTTGGATATGAAATGAAAATTTTATTTAATATTTATCTTGAATAAAATATTAATTCATGTGGCCTTAACTAGTTTGAAATCAATGTGTGATAGCATATTATATTTGGCCTTAGCATTCTCTTCAACATAGTTGAATTTGAAAGTAATTGGAGGTGTTCTGAAAATTAGTAATTATTAATTAACTTGAATAATTAATTTGCCACGAGTACACTATTCACTCCATTTGAATTCTGACTTGATATTCTTGATTTACATGCCATATAGCTTCACATATATTTGATTTAGAATATTCGGTGAGGTTTTGAAACCTTTCATTTAATTAATTTCCTTGTTTAAGATTTAATCCTCGTGGTGATATGCAACTTAGAATTGAATTGTGGCATGCTAGAAAATTTAGCTTTGGTATAGTTGTTCACATATATTAAATTAAGATTAATTACATGAGAATTGCAACCTTTATTTTATATTTTACTTTAGTGAAAGTTTAATTTATATAGGTGTAACTTGCATGAAATAAGCTTGTAATGTGATATTACATTACTCCTTGGCATGTTCTCTAAGATATGTTAAATTGAGAGCATTTGGTTAAGTTTGAAAATCTAGAGATTTTAATTAAAAGAATTAATTAAAATCTATTTTGTGGTCCCATTAGCTTAATTAAGATTTTAACTTGATATTTGTATTGGCCATGACTTATTTACTAGTGTATATTAATTGTGGACCAATTGAAGTTGCTTTAGAATCTTGGTAATTAAATTAGCATGATTTAA